GTCTTATTGACTTCGTATTTTCCATACATCATCTTTGGTTCATTTGTGAAGATAGAATATAGTAATCACTTCCCTTTGAAGTTAACCATTTACTTGTTGTTCATTTTTATCAAATATATGTTGAAAACTGACTGATACATGCAAAAGAATGATGATAGAGGCAAAAAGTTGCAGAATGAGTCGACACATACCCACATGGATCGACTCATTCTAGTGACAAAATAGGGTATGAGTCGACACTTGGCCTTATGCATCGACTCATAATCTTATCCAGGCCCCAAAACAGAAGGATGAAAGGTGCATGAGTCGACACAAAACGCGTATGTGTTGACACAAACAGGTGCATGAGTCGACACATCCCATTATGCGTCGACTCATATTGAGTTGATTTGGGATTTTTCAGAAACAGGAAGTGGAATGAGTCGACACATCCCATTATGCATCGACTCATACTGAGTTAATTTTGTTTTACAAGAGCAAGAAGAGTTATGTGTCGATGCATAGCAGCATTGTGTTGACACATAATAGTTCAAAATGCAATTTTTCTTTCTTTTTACACTGTCTTTACATTTTTCACAGATTTTCTTCATTATTGTCCAACTATTCGATATGGTTGTAATAATTATACATCTAATTCATCCCCATTTGTAAATTGTACCCCCACTCCCCTAATGATGTAATAGCGTAGGATTTTAATTTCCGCAAATTTATCGCTTTTCATATAATTGTTAGTAATTAGGGTGTGCATGACAAGATAAAATCAACCGTTAGAAAATCATAATCTCAAAGACAATGCATACAATCAAACACACTATTCACACGTGCACCTCTAGGATAACCTCGCTTGTTGCCTCGGAAAATAGTCATGTCCCTCGAATATGAGCGTTTTAGCAAAGACCCTCGATAAAAAAGATCGTAGTCCCTCGATGTCCCTCGATGTTGCCTTCGGTAAACGATCTAGTCCCTTACGAAAATTTCTAAAACGTCTCATAAGTTGCCTTCTATGACTATACCATTGACCCATGCCCGTCCCTTCACATCCAACGATAGGGCTTCTTACTAATCAATGGTAAGATAGCCACATCTAAAGGAGGAGGAAAAGAACAACAATCTTTTGAGTAGGTAGGACGTTTGTAGTTGCTTGCTCACAAACTAAAACCATCTCTACACTCACACTTTCAAAGCATCTTCAAAAACAAACATCTCTTTGAACTATTTTCAAAACCAACACTTTGTATGCATTCTTATAGAGACGAGAATCTTTACAAAGTTTTCCGAAACAAAGGCGTTTTCAAAATATTTTCAAACTCACACCAATCACAAACACATTTCAAATAAAGCATTTTCAAAGTGATCAAACAACTAAGAGCCCGTAGATAACTACAGATGAAAAGGGTGCTAACACCTTCCCTTTTCATAACCTACCCCCCGAACTCAAGAAAAATTCTCAGAAGGTCTTTCCTGTTCTTTTCACCCTTTCCTTTATTAGATAAAAGAAAAGTCGATGGAGACTCTTGCTATCCGCAACAATTAAGATCAAACGCAAAACACCAAAGTCAGTTCTCCCACCGTATCACACTATCAAAAAATGAGGATGAATGACATGTTGATGGAACCATGTTCAGGCAAATAGTTGGCAGCTTAAGGTATATTTGTCATAGCAGACATGAGTTAACTTTCAGTGTAGGTCTGGTCATTAGGTTTATGAGTGATCCTCGCCACTCACATCTGACTGCAGCTAAGAGAGTTATGAGGTATCTGAGGGGAACATCAAGTCATGTTATTCTATTTCCCTACCACACTAAAGGAGACAATAGTCTACATCTTGTAGCCTATTCTGACTCTGACTGGTGTTGTGATCTGGTCGAAAGATAGAGCACCATGGGACAAGTGTTTCTGTTGTCAGATTCCCCATATCTTGGAGTTCCGATAAGCAAATTATGGTAGCTCTATCCACCTGTGAAGTTGAATACATTGCAGCCTATTCAGTTATTTGTCAAATCTTATGGTTATTAGCACTACTCAAAGGATTGGAGTTGTTCAATGAAGAAGCAGTGAATTTATTGGTAGATAGCAAGTCAGAAATTGATTTGGCGAAAAACTATGTGTCACACGGCAGTAGTAAACACATTGACACCAAATTCCACTTCCTTCGAAATCAAGTAAATAAGAGAATAATCAAGCTTCGTCACTGCAACATTGAATTGTAACTAACAGACATATTGAGAAAGTCACTAAAGAGTGAAATATTCAAAGAGCTAAGAAAGCTTATGAATGTAGTGTCTTTGTACATTTTTGAATTAAGAGAAGGTGTTATAAGTAGTTCAAAACTATATGCATTAGAATATGTGTAATTAGCTGTCTAATAGTGTGTTGCCACGTGTCATGTATTGTGATGTTATTATATAAAACTAGAACTCTCGCTTTGTAGTAAAATGCAGTTGCTAATATATGGGAAATATGATTCCACTATTAGTGTGTATGCTCTAACAGTTTGTCGGTTTTCATAAACCAATTACACCATTAAACTTAATCTAAACCAGTCTCCATTGCACTCCTCCCAACATAATTGAAAAATTAATCCCTTCCAAAACTAATTAAATAATGTACTTAGAACTAAATAACATTACTTAGCTTTTGACTTAAATTTATAAGCTATTATATCGAACCCTCATTCCATGCCTATTTCACAAGACGTGCTTGTCCTACTTAAAAGCCGTCTCAAATATATATGATTTCTAAAAAAATTATTACGTTATCATTTTATTCTTTTTCATTATTACATCATTTTATTCTTTTTTAATATCCATAGATGAAATACTAATTTTTTTATGCGTAAACTAAGTGATTATAAACACTATAAATTCATATACACAATTAATTGTGAAATTTTATATAATCTAATTTAAAAATAACTATTTTTATTAATTGAATTATAATCTTCGAACAAGAAAAATTGTAATATTTATCGAAAACTAACACACAATAGTGAAATCTTAAATTAGAATTTTGATAATAATATTCAATTTAATAATATCAATTTTTAAAAATTTGTCAACCATAGTTACTTTGTTCTAACACATATTTGTATGTAAGTTTGAGAAATTTCTTTAAGGAAAAAAGTTTAGGAAATTATATAATAAGTCAACTTAACCAAGCTCGTGCAACCACGTTTTAAGTTTAACTAAACTAAAAAAAATAAAAAAGTTCAAGTCAATCTCCTAAAATGTGTGCACAACCTTCCCTCCACCTATTTAATCACTACATTCATCTCATTCTAATTACTTGAAAACTTGATCACAATTCACAAACATGGCCATTTCATCTTCACTTTTGTCACTTTCATTTTTCCTACTAACAATTGCTTTAACCTTTGTTAATGCATATTCAAAAGATTACTACTATAACACTAATAAACCAAGGCTCAATAAGATAGATTCTTGTTGGCGCGCGAAACCGAATTGGTCATCAAACCGAAAAGCCTTAGCTGATTGTGCTATTGGTTTTGGCAAAGATGCTATTGGAGGCAAATTTGGTGCAATATATATAGTTACTGACTCATCTGATGATCCTGTGAATCCTAAACAAGGTACACTTCGTTATGGCGCGATACAAACGAAGCCACTTTGGATCGTTTTCGATAGGGATATGGTTATTAGATTAAAGAATGAACTTATTATGAATAGTTATAAGACTATTGATGGTAGAGGAGTGAAAGTTGATATTGGAAATGGACCTTGTATTACAATACAAGGTGTTAATCATGTGATTATACATGGAATTAGTATTCATGATTGTAAGCCCAGTAATGCTGGACTTGTTAGAAGTAGTCCTGATCATGTTGGTCGTCGGCGTGGCGCGGATGGTGATGCTATTAGTATATTTGCTTCCTCAAATATTTGGATTGATCATTGCTTTTTGGCTAGAAGTAGTGATGGATTAATTGATATTATTCATGCTTCAACTGCTGTTACTATTTCTAACAATTACTTCACTCAGCATGACAAAGTAAGAAGCTGAATAAGTTCAATAACATTTTGATCAATTTTTATGTATATAACATGCATGGACTAATATATTTGTTTTTAGGTTATGTTGCTAGGACACAATGATCAATACACCGCAGATAAAATAATGAAAGTAACAATAGTTTTCAATCGGTTCGCTGATGGACTAATCGAAAGAATGCCAAGGTTAGACTAATGTTACGCAAAGACTAAACTATTATGAAACATTGATACAAACATAGATATTAGACACGATATTAACCCTGACATCTTATTATCAGTGGTTCACACACAGATACCAGACACGATACTGACACATTGTCATTAGTGATACAGACGCAACAAATACCAAACACGATAATGACATTGATACTGACACATTGACACAATTGATATGTGCAGGGTGAGATTTGGTTATGCACACGTGGTTAACAACAAATATGATGGGTGGAAAATGTATGCTATAGGAGGAAGTGCTAACCCAACTATTTTAAGTGAAGGGAACTTTTTTACAGCACCAAATGACCAAAATGCAAAACAGGTATAAATAAAAACAAAGTAAAGCCAAAACTATATATAGTTTAATTTCAAATTGAACCATTTTAAGATATTAACTATGTTGTGACAGATTACAAAGAGGGAAGCAAAGGGAAATTGGAAGAGCTGGAAATGGAGGTCTTCAAAGGATGCATTCTCAAATGGTGCTTATTTTGTGCCATCTGGTTATGGAAGTTGTGCACCAAATTATACACCTTCTCAATCTTTTGCGGCTGTTCCAGCTTATATGGTGCCGGCTATAACACTCAACGCAGGTCCATTGAATTGTTATGTTGGAAAGTCATGTTAATATAGCAAGAATATTGATAATGAATCACAAGTTCAAAGCTAATGAACATTATATAGTTTCATAATTTTAGATAATGCACCACAAAAGAGTGTTTTTGTATCAACAAACTTGAGATAAAATACAATCAAAGATAACTGTAAGCAAGTCTAGAAAAGTCTGTTTTCATTGTTTTGAACTCCACATGTTACTGGTGCTTTAGATCTCACTTTCTTTAAGTACCAAATAAAAGCTCCTATTCCAAGTGCTCCAAAAGCTGAAATGCCTGTAACTGTCCCTGCAATTACATGGACATTCCTATTGTGCCTTGCACTATCATAATCTGCCAACAAACAATATTCAATTGTTAGAATAAAATATCTAGATCGAAACTAAACACATAAATAAACGCACAAGAACATAACGATTCATCAGAGTTCAGTCAACTGTGCCTACGTCTGAGCGTTTTACCACTTATGACCGTAATAATTGTTTGAAACATACCATTGCAATGAGTGGTGGAATTTCCTTCCTTACATAAACACATGAAACTCTGAGTTTGTACATCAAATCCACAAGTTCCACCACCACCTTTAGATTGATCCTGACATTGAAGACACCTTGTCGTAACGGGAACATCAAAATCAACTCTAATTCCATATTCAGGAGCTTGTTCATAAGGTTGAGGTGCACCAACGTTTCTCCAATAAACACTAGCATAACTTGAACAATACATAAGCATCAACCTCAAAGACTCACTAGCTTTAGGATAATAAGAACAACAAGAACTACCACTCATAGCAAAAGAACACATTGGCAAATGCCTACAAAGATAACTAGCACTGTCACAAGAAGAATCACAATGTTCAGGAAACTTTTCACAAAACACAGGCTTTGGTTTAACAATAACTTTCTCTTCACTACAATTGAAGAAAAGATACTGATTTTGAGGCGAAAGCTTGAAACGCGTGCTCGTGTCCAAACTAAACGGTCTCGTGGGACGAAAACTTTCACCATCTTCGCAGTTCCACATGAATGGATCAGTGACAACAATGTGTGGATCAATATAGCTAACGTGATGAACAAGGTAACTACCAGAAGGTGTTCTTAGTTGAAGGTTATGTGAATGATCAGAAGATTGAGAACAAGAAAGAATGTATCTGTAATAAGGACTTCCACAACCATCATCAATGGAAAAAGGATATTGAATTGGAATGGAACCACATGATGTTCTACAAAGTGTGGATTGAGAATTTGTTAGTGTGAGTTGAAATATTGTTAGTAGTAATGAGATTGAATGGAAACTCATTCTTAGAGATGAATGTATATGAAGTTATGAACATGTACTAGATTGATTGATGAATGAAAAGTGGTGATGAAGAACAATAATGTCTGCAAGTGTTGTTGCTTTATTGAGGTTCTTTTGCTTTTGTTATTCCATTATTATGGTTTCTTTAGTCTTAGTTTCTTTATTTGTTTTTCTTTTTTGCTTTTTGAATTGTGAAGATCTATGCATTTCAAGGAGATAGTATTTTTATATAATATGATGTATGAAAATTTATTTTAATTATAGATGTCAAATCTATCTATAAAATTAATTCAAATTTTAAAACTAATTTAAATTGAATTACTTTTTTAACACATAAATATAAATAAAGGTGGTCAACATCGCTCCCTCGGAACTCCATTCAAATAGTTGGACCTTCATGAGGGATTTCAAGATCCTCCGAAGGACCCTTAAGATCACCCCTATAATGCAGACATTTTCTTTTCGTTTTAACTGATTTAGTGTTGAGAATCCCTTTCATCACCTTCGAGTCCAGGGTCTTAAAGACTGTCAACGTCGCTCTCTTGGAACTCCATCTAAACAACTAGGCTTTCATGAGGGATTTGAAGATCCTTCGAAGGGCCTTTGAGATCACTCATACTGTAGGAATTTCATTGTTGTTTTAGGTTACAAAGTGGGTAGATAAAGGTAGAAGTTTCTTTAAGAACTTTACTGGTCAGGGGATGCTCACCCTCTATTTGTCGAACTACAAAAATTGAAAGGATAAATATGTTAGAGTTCGAGGTGGAATTAATTGTTATGATGTTATATTTTCGAAATACAGATCATATTAATTTCCTTTTTACTAGTTAGGAGAGCCTATGTCGGTATAGAGTTTCGACCACGATAAACTCTGATTTGGAGAAGGGCAATGTTGAGTTTTTAGAACAATTTACATTATGAATATTAGGGAGTTGATGCAGTGTGAGTAAGATAAGTCGATAATTCATGATTATTTACTTATGTTTGATTTCTTTGTATTGATTATAGTTCTTCATTATTTATTCTTCAATTAACCCTTGTAGTGTTATATTTGTGAGAGTCCTAAACAGAATGCAAGCAACGTTCATATAGCATGGTATCGTCTAGACGACGTTCTCACAGAAAGAGGGGGCTCGCCCTGAGGCAGGTGACATGCAGATTATTATTATCCTAGAAATAATCATATCATGACTCCTCGAAAAATAGGTGGTTAATAGTATCCCCTAGTCATGGGAGAGCGGTTACTACCTCTATGGGTTTCTTAAACCCTAGGCCTAAGGCCTCTACATAAACTTCTCCCCCAACGGGAGAAATGGACAGATCTTAACTCATACAGATCACACCTTACACATTCTTACCATGAGCACTACTCTTATAGACAAAGCCTCTCACCTCATGTGGGTAGATCCTCTAAACCATATTAACACCACCATACAAAGCTTCTTGCTGCCATGGGCAAGCCCTGATCACCACAAATTGGTATAAACCTACTAAGGCCTTTAAGTACCCTTGTTGTCGCAGGGGTAACATGCATACCTGCACTTTTTGACCAGTACTGTGGAACCAAACGTGGAGCTTCAGTAAAACTAACTTGGGATAAAGCTTCTTCATCAAAATAACTACCCACTGTTATCCTAAACTCTTATACCTAAACTTTCACAACCATGGTTAATAGGAGGACTTCACCCCTTACGCCATAGAATACCAATGGTAACGCTGAAGCCAACGCCCCGGCAAAGATACACGATGCCATTTATGATATATGTCGTCAGAACTAGACATTGGAGGACAACATTCCCAACAACATAAAACACCAGCAAGAATCCAATCCCCTAGAGCAGATGGAACTTTTAGATCCCTAACCATTCTCAAACGATATATGAGAGGTGCATATCTCCAAAGGATTTAAACCTCTCTCTTTGGCCATGTTTGATGGGTGCAACCATCCTTATGAAAATGTCACCACGACCAATACACATGTGGCCATCATTAGAGCGCATGAATCCCTAAAGTGAAAATTGTTGTCTGACACCTTTAAAGATGCCACCTTGCATTGGTATATGGGTCTACCCGAGCTTTCATCTCCAGTTACCAGGAGATGGTAAATAAACTAATGAATTAGTTCAGTGCCAACCGCCACAGGAAGATGTCTACCACTAACCTATTCAATATACGATAGGGTCTGCCAGAGTCATTAAGGTACTATCTCTCCCGATTTAAAGAAATCACCATCAGGGTCATTCCCCCAAACCAATAAATGTTTGTGGGGGCATTCGAAAATGAACTTAAGGCGGGACACTTCAATAAGTCTCAAGCCCATAAGTCGACACTTTCTTTAACATAAGCGGTCACTATAGAAAATGTTATATAAAGGTCGAGGAGAGCAACACTAAGAGAAAGGCGTGAGACATCAAGGAACTTGCAACCAACGCCGAAGGTTCACACCATTATAGGAAGAGTAATTATGCCTCTCCCATCAAAGACATGACTACATTCAAGAGAATAGGAAAGACAAAAGAGAGCTTCACGACTCTAAACACTCGTCGTGAATTAATCTGGCATGAGGTTCTTCACTTGCACAACATTCCCACGCCTCCATCTCAGAAGGCGGATGTGATGGATCCCAAACTAAGAAGATGTTGCAAGTTCCATAGAGTCAAGTGTTATACCCTAATTTTCCCCCCTAAGATCCCTTATCATTCAATATCATCATAATACATCAAGATCACACACTTGGTTGGTTATTTCTTCTACCATCTCTCATATCTTTGGGTTTTATCTTGAGGGACCACCAAGCACTTTGAGTTGTGTATCTTATGTATATATTTTATGTTTATTAACCCTTAACCAAAATCCAAAAAAATGTATGTTTCCTCTCTATGTTTTGTACATTGTAGGTATATAGCCAAGTACATCTCTCTCACCTCCTAAGCTAGGGTTTTGAAGGTTGATCCTTAATCAATTGGTTATTAATGGATTATAAAGGCTTGAAATTCAAGGGTATGGTTATGGCATCAAAGTTATTTGGTTTGAGGACTCTCTAAATTTCATTTGGCCAATATTTCCTCAAAGTTGGTGGTTGAATTCATCAAGAAACTTCATAGGTTCACAAGTCTATTTTCATGCCTTCTTCAACAAGTTTCATCAAGCATTGAGTCCCTCCATCAAGTGTGCTTCAATATAACATCATTTCAAGGAAAAGATTCAAAAGATTCAAAATTGATTTACGATTGTTGACCTAATTGGGAAAGTCCTTGATTATATGGTCACAAGTGCATAATTCTCTCAATTTTCAATATATTTAAGTGGTTATTTTTTCTATGGACTCTTCACATCTTTACCAACGACTTCTCTTCACATGATAAAGTCTAATTGTGCCAGGAAAATATTCAAAAGTTGAAGAATGTTACAAGTCACTTTTGTAATTTCTGAGTAAGGGTTTGTCAACTTCCCAGGACCATATCTTGCTCAATTTTTGAGATTTTGAAATGATTCAAAATCTAGGATTCTATCGAAAGAGACTTTAACAACTTATCTTCAAAGATCTACGGCCAATTTTGAGTGGAAGATTATTTAATTTTGAAGAAGATTACATGTCCTTTGAAAAAGCCATTGAACTCTTTGATTTGACTTCAAAAGATCATAACTTGGTCAATTTTTGTCTCCTTGAGCTCATTTTTTTTTATAACAAAATTGAGGATGTCTACTACAACTTTGATTCAAAGATTAAGATCTAAAAATATGTGGAAAGTTATGGAATTCAATGAAACATTATAGGTCATTTGTGGATTTCTCAATAAACTTTCATCATCCTCCAAGGACCATAACTCTCTCAATTTTTGAGATTTTTTAGTGATATAAATTTCAAAATTCAATTCAAGAGGTGTACTTCATTTCATACTCAAGGATCATGAGCCAATTTTGAGTGGAAATGTTTGTTAGTTTTCAAAACATTATAGGTCATTATGAAGCTCTATACTTAGAAATTTTTTTAATTACAAAAGTCAGTGTATTTTTCACAATTTCAAATAGACACAACTTCCAGCTCAGTTGTCCAAATTAATACTTTCTTGACACATTATAAAGATTGTGACGAGGTCTTTCAAATGCAACAAGAATGAGACCTTAAAGCCTCATGAGTAGCTTTCCCCATGAATTTGAATATGGCCACTTGAAACTGAGTTTTCACCATGATAAGAATTTTGAACATTTCTAATTCAAATTATGATCAAATTTAAGGTTCCATTTTATGCCTAATCATGTTTAACAATGTTCCAAAAGATATTTTTCACTTCAAAATGCATAATTAGCTTGAGTTTTGGCCAAGAGAAGTCACACTTTTACCATGGATCGGGCTCACATGACTTCTCTCATTTTCTTATTATCTCACACGCTTGAGCTCATGATTCATTTCCCTATAAATAGAGGATCATACTTCTCTCATTGGACAAGCTTTGAGAGCCAGAAAATCTCTGCCCAATTTCCTTCATAACTCACTTTTTTGAAATTTTGAATTCACTCTTTCCTTTCTTTTCAATTTAATTTCTTGTTTTATTCTTCTTTAGGGAACTCGTGCGAAGCTTCTCAAACAAAAAGCAAGCCAAATTGTGCCCCATTATGCTCAGACCAAGTTCAGTTTCAGAGCAAACTTCTGCTACTTAGTTCAAGTAGGTTAAGGCACCAAATCATCTAACTAAAATTATTGGGATGATCTATGATATTCATTGATGCTTGCTATTAACTTAATTTTGGTGAATCAATGCATTTGATACTTCTATTTTCGATTTCAAATATTTCAAAACCTTCTGGTTTTTTCCAAATCGAGTAGCCTATGGTTAAAAGAAATTTTCTGCGAATAGATGATTGAGATCGTCCAGATGAGACGCATCCAATGAAATCATTCTCGTGAGCAATGGTTACTGTTTGTAGAAATACGATTTCACCTTGAAATCCTTTGACTAGCGGTTGAAGATGATGAGTTGACATCATCCACCCAAGGA